CAAAAATATGCAGGTGAACAGGTATTTTAAATATTACTATTGTAATCGTCGAGAAATTTGTATTTTTTTATATAGAGTATTTTGCTCTATCTCATAAATTAAAGTGATGGCGGAAGGTTAAACTGGATTTTATTAAAATAAGGATAACTATTAACAAACTAGGGCTCGTTTAAAAGAGCCTTTCTTCCTTAATCATCTCCAGTATAAATTTTGTTTCCATAAATTTTTTCGTGGTAGCTAGAGGGCGCTGTTTGACACCATAACAGATATTGCGCTTTTGTAGAAAAATTTTAAATAGGAGGCTATATGTCTCTTCACAGAGTTAAATAGAGCACAAAATTTCCAAAAAATCAGCGCAAACCGCAACTTTCTATCTTCTCTCTAACCGGAGATATTAAGAGAACAAATCATGTTAGGCTGCCGTTTAGGATTATATGGTCTAAAAATTATAGTAGTAGGCTAGGAAACAAAATCAGGTAACTTGGTTACGTCAAAATATCAAAACAATTACGTCAAAATATCAAAACAAGAAAGTTCAGTTTTCATGCATCCGAATTTAGGGCGTTTTCTTAAAAAAATGACGTCATAAGTTTTTAAACGTGTTTATGTAACATTATCGTCCATCAATATAATTTTTAAGAATTTCTTGGTTAATTATACGTAGGTAGTTCTAAGATTAAAATGTCCAAAAGTCGGACAATCAATAATTTTATTAAAATTTTTAGGAATTTTGTGCCGCAATATTGCTTTTAACAGAAAACGGCCGAATTTCGTATAGCCGAAAACTAGGGGTTTATTTTATGTAACGTCATTTAATTTATTAATCCAAATCCAAGTTCGTCCTTGATTTCACTTGTTTTCGTATTTTACCTGTTGTTTGTATTATTTATTATTATAATAAAGGTTATGTAATTTGGGTCACTTTACAATATGCACTACTGGTCCAAATCTACCCTTGATGCAAGTTCTTCATCACCCTTGAAGCTAGTTCAGCGCCAAGACCGTTGGTCGGTAAATTTTTAGGCAGGAGTTCTAGGATGGCGAATGATTGGACCTTTTTAATTATCTGAATGAAATAATAAACTATCCATAATTTCTAAGAGACGAATTGCCAATTTTGTTAGGGGATTCATCACGATGAAATTGCATTTTGTTGCAATTTCATCAGCATGAGTGTAGTTGGTGTAGTTGATGCAGTTGGTGCATTTGTGCCGCCTATTTTGCTATAAATGTGTGGGGCTTCTTAGATACCACTTACTGATAGAGACTTAGATAGAGACGCTGGAGCGGCATATTTTCCATAGCCAGCTAGGTCATTGGATTCAATATGCCTGGGTTTTAATTTATAGTGTTGTAAGAGTCTCAATTTATTTTTCTTTGGTTCAGTGAAAAATAAATAGCCTTACTGGCGTACAGTAGTAAATTTAAATCTCTCGGGCGCCACCTCTGTTATTTATAGTGGAAGAGGTCCACGTTTCGCCAATACGGGTAGCTTTTATACAGTGGAGATACCAGGGAGTGATGAAATGAAAAGAAATAAAACACACAGTTAACTATAACATAACATTAAGGCTTTATTTAATTAATTAACTATATGCTAAATACCCCAGGAAGTTTCACGACTTTAAATTGTAATGAAAGTGAAAGAAAATTTATAATTAAAGACTCGTAAAATAAAATTTACAACAACAATCGAGCACCTCTAGAGTTTTGACCGTATAATCTCGATATGCAACTCACTGTCCGATTTAATCACGCGAATTCAAAGCGCGTTTTTGACATGACGTTCTAGTAAATAAAACGACGCGAGTTTCTAACCGGCGTCTAACTTAACGGCGTCCTAGTAAACACAGACATGTACGTACCGGAGCGACATACTCTTTTATAAACCGACTTTCTAAACGTCGGCGACGTCGTTACAGACGTCCCGGGATAAACAAACGCGAGCCCTGGATCGTTCGCAGTAGAACGAAACGGAGTCCTGTGGGATAAGTACGCACGCGAGCCCTGGATCGTTCGCAGTAGAACAAAACGGCGTCCTGTGGAATTACGCACCCGAGCCCTGAATCGTTCGCAGTAGAACGAGACAGCGTCCTGTGGGATAGATACGCACGCGAGCCCTGAATCGTTCGCAGTAGAACGAAACGGAGTCCTGTGGGATAGGTACGCACGCGAGCCCTGGATCGTTCGCAGTAGAACGAAACGGAGTCCTGTGGGATAGGTACGCACGCGAGCCCTGGATCGTTCGCAGTAGAACGAAACGGCGTCTCGGTTAGTCGTCTGGATAAGCACAGTCCACACCGCCCGGTCAGGACCACCTTGGGATGTCGGCGAGATCCCACGGCGCTCCTGATGAGAATACGGGAACTACAGAACCAGTCTCGGGATGGACGAGATCCTGCCTTAGCTCCAAGAACATTCGCGACCCGTGCGTTTACTGTACCACCTTGCTCGTTATCTCTCTCACGCTCCTTCTTTCCCCTAACAAAAGAAATCGTTCTTCGCGTCCACGTGATCCGTTCAGCTCCCCCACCTGCTAGAGGACAGTTGGCCCTGAACGAATACAAGCTTTGCCAGCTTTTTGTGATCGCGCGCTTTCCTCGCGTCCACGTGATCCGTTCAGCTCCCCCACCTGCTAGAGGACAGTTGGCCCTGAACGAATACAAGCTTTGCCAGCTTTTGCGATCGCGCGCTTTCCTCGCGTCCACGTGATCCGTTCAGCTCCCCCACCTGCTAGAGGACAGTTGGCCCTGAACGAACACAAGTTTTGCCGGCTTTTACGATCGCGCGCTTTCCTCGCGTCCACGTGATCCGTTCAGCTCCCCCACCTGCTAGAGGACAGTTGGCCCTGAACGAACACAAGTTTTGCCGGCCTTTGCGATCGCGCGTTCTAACTATCTCTGTCTCCCTTACCCCTATAACGCGTCAAGGCAGTAAAGTAAACGGTATTAACAATAAAAAGAATACGACCTACTCTCGATCACTTTGGCGGTGGGTGCTTACCTTATACAATACGGCGGCAGGCGGCTGGCAGCAGGACACTTGGCAGGGCACTCCGGACTCGAACTTTACTGTTCACGTGCGACCACACAACTCACTCTCTAGTGCCAGTACTGCCGAGGTACTCGACTACGCTCCCCTCCACTCAACCTGCACTGGTAGGGAGAGCGGCGCAAACGTCTCGGTTTCTCGCACCGAACCACGGCGACTAAAACCGATCAAAACTCTCTTACAAAATGGCAATTAAATATTTAACTTATTTAATTCAACAATAGAAACACTAATGAAGTTCATTACAATAATGAGTTAACAATAAAATACCCTGCCTGTCATTATTACAAGAGAATCAAGTCTCTATTATTCTAGTATAATATTAATATAATGTACAGGGTGGCCCAGAAAATTTATGAACTTCATTACACTCCCCCTACTTCGGTTAAAAATATATGAACATATATTTTTGTCAGCTATGCTGAAATGAAACTTCCTGTTAAAACAGCTTTTGTTTGACCAAAACTTAAGCTAACGCCCAGTATATCTCTTAAAGTCTAATAAAACAACAACAAATTCGAATGTTTATTGAGCCAAACTTAATCTAATAAAACAAAACAAATTCGAATATTGTTTGTCCAAAACTTAAGCTAACGCCCAGTATATCTCTTAAAGTCTAATTAAAACAACAACAAATTCGAATGTTTATTGGGCCAAACTTAATCTAATACAACAACAATAAATTCGGATATTTACTGGGCAAGATTTCATCTAACAAAATAACAACAAATTCGAATGGTTACGGGGCAAACTTAATCTAAAACCTTGATATATCTGGGACCTGGTATCACTTTGATTATGCTTACAACTAAAAGAAAACAACCATAAACTCAAATGTTTATTTGTCAAGTCTTAATCTAAACTTTTGTATCGTAATCATGATTAAGTTACTAAAATAAAACGACCGCAAAATCAAATGTTTATTTTCAAAATGTAAAACTTAACTAAATTACGCAATATCTTCGGTCTTCTTCAACTTGAAGATCTTCCTTCGGCGGTGTGTAGAGCTTCGACGTGTCGAGCTTGCTCCAACGGTGTTCCGGCTTCGGTGAGTCCCTCGTTGTCCAGCGGCGTTGAGAGCTTCGGTGAGTCCTTCGTTGTGCAGCGGAGTTGAGAGCTTCGGTGAGTCCCTCGTGGTCCAACGATGTTGAAGGCTTCGGTGAGTCCCTCGTGGCCCAGCGGAGTTGAGAGCTTCGGCGAGTCCCTCGTGTTCCAACGGCGTTGAACGATCCTGCAAATGGCTCAGTCATGGAGACCCGTACACCTATAACACAAATGAATTAGTTCAACTCTTCAGGCACGCAGGACAATTGGTCGCAATACATTTTCATATTTAAAAAAAAAACGACCATATGAGAGATACTACAGAATTTCCTTAAACAAAACTTCTCTACCCTCTTTCTGTTTCCCTTTTCGATTTTAATTTAAAAAAAAAAAAAAAAACTAACCAGGACCATACCCCGTAGACATAACATAGAGACTTAAAATCGCGCAATACTCTTTTATTTTCTTTACCTATCAAAAGATATAAATCAACTCCCTTTTTTTTTTTACTTTAACTATCAAAAGATATAACTTGACGCCCTTTTTTTTTTAAAGAAAAGCAAACCCCTTAAAGAAAGTAAACAAGAAATGAAAACTTAGAATCTGATGACTTGTAGACTGAGGACATTGTGACGACAGACTCCTGTTGCTGGACGTCCGGCGTTGGTTTTCAGACGGGCCAGGACATCGGGTTTTTCTGCATGTCACTTCTCCACTTCTTCCCTGGCAAGTTGTTGCTGTCTCCGCCTAGACTGGCTTCCAGACACATGGGAATGTGGGGGAGTTGGTTAGCGTCAGTGTGGCCTGCAGATAGTTCCTGGCAGTGACTCACGAGTCATGAGTCGTTCTAGTCTGAAAAATTCAAAGTAAAATCAGTTCTACAACTTCATCAGTCGGGAAGGGGGTTTTTTTTTTAGATACTGTTTAGATGACTGTTGATCCTCCTCTTAACCAACATCCATCAGCCCAGGATTCGGAGTGATTTGAACGGGATGGTATACATCTACATTTGCAATCCTGTGATCGCACGCCGAGTGTCCCACATCTGGAACAGAACAAAAGAAATCTTCTTTGACATACACCACGTAGGTGTCCGGGGTTTCCACATCGCCAACAAACATTCTTCTCCACCGGAACTCGATCAGAGTTTTTAAGCAATACATCTTTGGAGTCAGAAAACTTGTTAGTTTGACGTCTGCGGAACTCTTCTACAGGGCTCTGTAGACTCGTTTTTATCGGAAGGCGACTGCCTTTAGAAACGGATGCTTGACGTTGACCTTTCCTCAACTTCTCGGTTGTTTGTTCAACATTTTTCTTCGGGTTTACTTGTAAACCTTCGGCGGAGCTTCGGATCTTTAAACTTGACATGACATTACAAGACGAAACCACCGATTCTGCACTCACCAACTTAGCATTCAATCGGATCTGTCGGGTTCGTAAATCAATCTGGAAGTCATGTTTGCCCAGAATATCCATACCAATAATCATATCCGAAACTAAGTCTTTTAGACTGTGGAAAACCTCATTCAGAGACTGCTCTCCTACTTGGATTTTCATCCTAAATGCTGTGCTAATGGACTCCGTGGCACCATTAGCAAGTCTCGCTCCTTTTACCGTGGGTTTGACAGGAATTGCCTTGGAAGTTTGGCACTGTTCTGTCAATTTCTTTCCAATATAGGAATGGGCAGCTCCAGTATCCAGGAGTGCCAAATAGTCGGTGTTCCGGTAGCGAATCTTCACAACAGGACGAATTTCTTGACGTATGATTTGTGGTAATTCTTCAACAATCTCCGTTGGTGAATAATGTTGTTCCTGGGATATTTCTGTGCGGTTTGGTTCCCGCTTTCTTGGGCTCACACATGGACAATTCCTAGAAAGAACACCTGTCTTTTTGCATCGGGAACAAAAGATTTTGGGCTCGGATGTGCACTGTCTGCGGAAGTGTCCTGTCTGTCCACATCTCCAACAGATTGCTTCTGAAGTCTGTTTTGCAGAGTTCGGCGCTCTATACGGATATCTTGAAACACGGGGAGTAACAGACACATGTCTCTGTTTACTCTGAGACGGCGATTGGCTCTGGATAACCATCAGGTTGCTCCTGGCTCCAGCATGCTCATTTTCCAGCCTGTCTCGCCGAGGCGTATTATTCGGTCGGGCTTCGACATCGGACGGTGCATAAGTACGGGACGATCGCTGCAGTTCCTGATTAAGCAGTTCAAACTCCTTGGTTATTCTTGAGAACGATGAAATATCGTGAAAATCTCCTCTTCGGACATACTGACGAAATTCAGGTAACAAATTTCTGTACAACCACTGCAATTCTTGATTCAGAGAGATGCTGCCATGTCTGCGGATCAACGTTTGAAGATCAGTGATGTACGCCGTGACAGACTCGTTATGTCTTTGCACTCGACGACTTATCTTCGCCTCTAGGTCCACCTCATAATTTACTGGATAATAAAAAATTTTAAATTCTCCAGTAAATTCTTCCCAGGTCCTGTAATTTACTCGGTTATTGCGGTACCAGAGCGCAGCTTCTCCTTGCAAAACTTCTGGCAAATGTGGCAATAAACGATCCGGATGTATATTCTGTGCTATACAAATTTCTTCCAGTCTCTCTAAGAATGTTACAGGGTCCGAGCGACCATTAAATGTCACCCCCCATTTGTAAACTTGTATAGGATTAGTATTAAAACTATTTGACATACCTGGATTTATCGGCAGAGGGACAGGCTGTGAAGTAGAAGTATAGACCACCGGAGAAGGCACTACACGTCCAGCAATGTATCCACTCGAGGTTGCTGTCACTGTAGTTGTCACTGTCGTAGTGGTCAGGGTGGCTGTAGAGCTCACTGTCGGTACAACAGCACTATTTCCAGGAAATCCAAAAGGCTTTGAGACCGGCTGAGGACTCACCTGTCCTTCTCTAATGAATCTCACTATCCTTCTTCGCATCTCCTCAACAGTCCCGGTACAATCCAATCCGAAAAAAATCCGAAAAAAATCTTCCTCGGTTTCCATATCGCTCTAGATTTCACTAGTCTTTGACTCAGAAGCACTGAGACTTTACTGTCTCTAGAGGTACTTATGCTCGACGGTTGTTACTTTCTTTTCACCTCCCCTCACACTGTTTCCATAGCTTTCTCGCTTTTACTAGCTTTACCCGGTTTTCCTGGTACTTTTGACGGTTCAATCTTCAAAACAATCAAGTCCCTGCTCGGGCGCCAATTTTGTAAGAGTCTCAGTTTATTTTTCCTTGGTTCAGTGAAAAATAAATAGCCTTACTGGCGTACAGTAGTAAATTTAAATCTCTCGGGCGCCACCTCTGTTATTTATAGTGGAAGAGGTCCACGTTTCGCCAATACGGGTAGCTTTTATACAGTGGAGATACCAGGGAGTGATGAAATGAAAAGAAATAAAACACACAGTTAACTATAACATAACATTAAGGCTTTATTTAATTAATTAACTATATGCTAAATACCCCAGGAAGTTTCACGACTTTAAATTGTAATGAAAGTGAAAGAAAATTTATAATTAAAGACTCGTAAAATAAAATTTACAACAACAATCGAGCACCTCTAGAGTTTTGACCGTATAATCTCGATATGCAACTCACTGTCCGATTTAATCACGCGAATTCAAAGCGCGTTTTTGACATGACGTTCTAGTAAATAAAACGACGCGAGTTTCTAACCGGCGTCTAACTTAACGGCGTCCTAGTAAACACAGACATGTACGTACCGGAGCGACATACTCTTTTATAAACCGACTTTCTAAACGTCGGCGACGTCGTTACAGACGTCCCGGGATAAACAAACGCGAGCCCTGGATCGTTCGCAGTAGAACGAAACGGCGTCCTGTGGGATAATTACGCACCCGAGCCCTGAATCGTTCGCAGTAGAACGAGACGGCGTCCTGTGGGATAGATACGCACGCGAGCCCTGAATCGTTCGCAGTAGAACGAAACGGAGTCCTGTGGGATAGGTACGCACGCGAGCCCTGGATTGTTCGCAGTAGAACGAAACGGCGTCATGTGGGATAGATACACACGCGAGCCCTGGATCGTTCGCAGTAGAACGAAACGGAGTCCTGTGGGATAGGTACGCACGCGAGCCCTGGATCGTTCGCCAGTAGAACGAAACGGCGTCTCGGTTAGTCGTCTGGATAAGCACAGTCCACACCGCCCGGTCAGGACCACCTCGGGATGTCGGCGAGATCCCACGGCGCTCCTGATGAGAATACGGGAACTACAGAACCAGTCTCGGGATGGACGAGATCCTGCCTTAGCTCCAAGAACATTCGCGACCCGTGCGTTTACTGTACCACCTTGCTCGTTATCTCTCTCACGCTCCTTCTTTCCCCTAACAAAAGAAATCGTTCTTCGCGTCCACGTGATCCGTTCAGCTCCCCCACCTGCTAGAGGACAGTTGGCCCTGAACGAATACAAGCTTTGCCAGCTTTTGCGATCGCGCGCTTTCCTCGCGTCCACGTGATCCGTTCAGCTCCCCCACCTGCTAGAGGACAGTTGGCCCTGAACGAATACAAGCTTTGCCAGCTTTTGCGATCGCGCGCTTTCCTCGCGGCCACGTGATCCGTTCAGCTCCCCCACCTGCTAGAGGACAGTTGGCCCTGAACGAACACAAGTTTTGCCGGCTTTTACGATCGCGCGCTTTCCTCGCGTCCACGTGATCCGTTCAGCTCCCCCACCTGCTAGAGGACAGTTGGCCCTGAACGAACACAAGTTTTGCCGGCCTTTGCGATCGCGCGTTCTAACTATCTCTGTCTCCCTTATCCCTATAACGCGTCAAGGCAGTAAAGTAAACGGTATTAACAATAAAAAGAATACGACCTACTCTCGATCACTTTGGCGGTGGGTGCTTACCTTATACAATACGGCGGCAGGCGGCAGGCGGCTGGCAGCAGGACACTTGGCAGGGCACTCCGGACTCGAACTTCACTGTTCACGTGCGACCACACAACTCACTCTCTAGTGCCAGTACTGCCGAGGTACTCGACTACGCTCCCCTCCACTCAACCTGCACTGGTAAGGAGAGCGGCGCAAACGTCTCGGTTTCTCGCACCGAACCACGGCGACCAAAACCGATCAAAACTCTCTTACAAAATGGCAATTAAATATTTAACTTATTTAATTCAACAATAGAAACACTAATGAAGTTCATTACAATAATGAGTTAACAATAAAATACCCTGCCTGTCATTATTACAAGAGAATCAAGTCTCTATTATTCTAGTATAATATTAATATAATGTACAGGGTGGCCCAGAAAATTTATGAACTTCATTACAGTGTCGAATCAAGAACGAACATGGATAAATAACAATTAAATGGTATTAAAATGAAATTAAAATGTGTTTTGATATTTTGACGTAAACAAATTTACCTCTTTTTGTTTCCTAGCCTACTACTCTAATTTTTAGGCCGTATAATCCTAGGCGACAGCCTAATATAATTTATTTTCTTAATATCTCCCGTTAGAGAGAAGATAGAAAGTTGCGGTTTGCGCTGATTTTTTGGAAATGTTGTGCTCTATTTAACTGTACAAACAGCAATATAGCCTCCTATTTAAATTTTTTATGCAAAAGCGCAAAATCTGTTATGATGTCAAACAGCGCCCTCTATCTACCACGAAAAAAAATATGAAAACAAAATTTATACTGGAGATCATTTAGGAAGAAAAGCTCTTTTAAACGAGCCCTAGTTTGTCTAAATCGCCTAACCCAAACCAGAGTTATACTTATTTTAATAAAATCAAGTTTAACATTCCCCCACCACTTTATTTTATGAGATAGAGCAAAATACTCTGTATCAAAAAAATTACAAATTTCTCGACGATTACAATAGTAATATTTAAAATTCCTGTTCACCTGCATGTTTTTGAGAAAAACCCTGTTTTCTGATCAGAGAAACGCCCCCTAGCGGACATTTTTTGGACTTGAAAATAATTTCCAGCGATTTCTTTTGGTCGATTTACTTATTATAATTTTTTTTCGAAAGTTATACGATAAGTAGTTTCTGAGATAGAGCCGGCGTCCATTCTTAGTTGGCCACCCGGTACAGCCTCGTCACAAAAGGTGTCATTTTTACTCCCAATAAAACAATATACTATTATTATTCAAATAGAAATATTAATTATTTTGTAGTTTATTCACAATCGCAGTCTGAGACAAAAAAATAGGGGAGTTTACATTTTTTAAAATAATCCTAAATAATTTAGATGGCACAATGAATGTATTTTGTGCCAAACACAGGTGGGAATTATGTAGTGCGGTCAATAATCGAAGTGAAATGAAGTGTTGTTAAGTGTAGAGTTGCGGTTTTAGGTAAGGTGATAAAACGACGCTCTAACCTAATCACATCGATCTGCTATCTATTGGAATACCGTTTTCTAATGTTAGGTAAGTTTTTCTTTTAGTCTGAATTTTCCAAGTCGTTTTTGAATCTTTCTAGTCGATATGTCAACACTGGCTGTCGAACAAGCCGAGATTAAGGTAATTGCTTAGTAGTTCTTTTGAATTTTTTAATTGTTTGGTATTTGCGGCTGATTATCGATTGCTGGCGGTGGATCTGAAAATTTTGCCATTATCTTTAAAGTTAATTATTATAATATTCAACTTTTTTAAAGTTAAATAACTCGGTTATTATTAATTTATTTTAAAATGGTAAAGAGAAAATCTGTTTTTTTTGCCATATACATAAATACTTACACTTATTTCTGGGACACCCCCTGAATATATTAATCCTATGTATCCGTATATAAATTATGTATTATCTATAATTATCAGGGTTTGTAAATACGTAAATATTAATATATTTACGGACCCTGCTGATTATAGGCAATTCAAATAACCACCGGACATATTCATTTTCAGTAATAGAGCGATAATATCTCGTATAGGTGGACAAGAATTTAATTTAAAGGTAATCAACGACCATAATGCATATTGACCAAATCCTGCCAGGTCGAGCCATGTCTTGTTAATTAATATATGATTATATCTGCTGGCCATTTGCAGGCGTAGTACTTTGATCCCGCAGTAGATGTAAGTTAGTCGGTATTTTTAAATCTTTACTTCGTTATATCTCCGCTTGAGGTTGCCTAGTTCACATACAGGTTGTCCCAGTTGTTGTTGATTGTTCCTTTCGTTATAAGCTAAAAGCTATATAAAATTCAAAATTTGTAGTTTGTAAGAAGTACGTTATAATTTTCGTGATGTGTCAATGTCAAAATTAAAAAAAATTGACAAGTGATAATTCATAAACTATGAGATAAAATTTAAGGTAGTGTAAGCCGTTCATAATTTAATAACCTATGAGTCTCATTTTTTTAATTTATGATATAAAATATTTTATGAGGATAGGTTTATATACAGGGTGATACGAACTGTATTCCGGAAACTTTGGCAGCAGATTCTGCAGATCAAAATAAGTAACAAAGTTCGTATAAATGTATGTCCTAAAATGCTTAGTTTCAGAGATACAGGGTGTAGAAGTTTCATTTTTATTTCGATTTTTTTCAAATAATTTCTGTAGTAAAGTCATTATTTGGATGAAAATTGGTGTCTAGAAGTATTTTGACATGAGAAATTTGATTTTGATGTCAATATGACTCCTATTTGTAGGGGGCGCCACCTACATGTGTTTTAATTGCTTTTAAGACTAATAACTTTTTGTCCGTACCTGTGTAAAACTACTAGGTAAAAAATATACATCTACGACGTGTTTTACGTAAAAAAGGTCTCTTGGTAAAAATCGCTACGAGTAATGGTTCTCGAGATATTTGGAATAGAAATTATCAATACCTGTCATCATTGACATAAATTAAACATGTTGACACTAAATAGTTATTAGACTGAAATCATAAATTTGAAATGTTTTTGTGCCAAAAACTCAACAGAAACTGTTTTATCATAATTTTTTCGAAGAAAAATTTATGATTAATGTAAAAAGCTCCCAAATTATTTATAACTTCAGTCAATAAAACTACATACCTACTCAATATGTATTTTTTTGTCAATAATGACATATATTGACTATTTCCATTCTAAATATCTTGAAAACGGTTGCCCGTAGCGATTTTTACCAAGAGACATTTTTTTAAGTAAAAAATTACGGAAATGTATATTTTTTCTCTCAGTGGCTATATACAGGTACGGATAAAAAGGTATTACTCTTCAAAACAGTCAAAACAAAAACAGGTGGCGCTCCCTACAAATAGGAGTCGTATTGACATCAAAATCAAATTTCTCATATCAAAATACTCCTAGACACCAATTTTCATTCAAATATTGAATGGAGTGAGAATTATTTGGAAAAAATCTAAATAAAAATGAAACTTCTACACCCTGTATCTCCGAAACTAAGCATTTTAGGACATACATTTATACGAAGTTTTTTGCTTATTTTTTTTCTGCAGAATATGCTGCCGAAGTTTCCGGAATACATTTCGGATCACCCTGTATTGACTTCAAAATATATAAAGCACCCTGCTGTTTAGAGTAAAGCCTACAGCCCTGATCTGGCTGCTAGATATCAGTTGTACGGTATTGACCAAATTCTCAAGTCATCATAGGTTTATACAGGGTGGTTTTTACGATGTTCTCTATGGATATCTCGAAAACTACCGGAGCTACGGTAACCTAAGGTGGCTAAATGGGGAAATAATTGCAGATTTGCAAGGACAAAAATATTTTTTTGCCTTTTTTTGCCTTTTGGATGTTCGAAAAAGTTTATGTCTTACTAGATATTTCGAAAAAACAATTCGGCTGTTTTAAAAATACTCCCTAATTTCATTATAATCTATTTTAGAGAAAAAGTTTTCAGATAACACTTGAAGATTATATCACATCCTTTATGAAATTTTTTAGTTTTTTTCTAATGCCTGTCATTTTTGATTTTACACAAATATAT